AGTCGTGCATGTTCGACTATATCTTCATTTTGCTGTTCTCTTTAACTTGCTTTTAAAAAAAATATCTATAAGAGTATGTATGTATGCTATGTATATTTCCATGTGATAGATCTGATTACCATTAAATTGTAATTATTTTTCAAAGAAATATTAAGAATATTTTATGCATAGTTTCAGTTAAGTTTCGTCATTTGCCAGGAATTTTCGCATTTGGTGCTTTTGTCTATCCGCTGTCCCTTTCGCCATTCATATTCTGCTGGCCATCATATTTAGCATAAGATTTTTGTATTGCCATTAACGCATGCGTTATGTTAAATGCAGTTATATATCTATGCCAACTATACTATACGACTTATACCTTTAAGAAGATATTTGGCCGTGTCTTTGCATCCATTCAAGAAAAGGACTACACACTGTCATGTAAATATGCTCTTGTTGAGTGTGTATAGAAGCCGGCAACAAATATTGACAATTTCGATAAGCTAAAATATGCCGTGTTTATTTTAATTAACATGTTTATTAATATCCCCCCCACACACACATTGCACACGTGTGACACAATGCAATTATATGTATAAATACGAATATATAGGATACCATCACTCAAGAGCTCGACGAACTACTCCAATCGCTCTCAACCATCGAGGATGGCATTGGAAACATGAACCACAGCAGCTTGGAGGGCATGCAACAGGGACTGAAGGTAATTGTTATGCTGCGTTTGGATTGCCTGTTCAATCAAGCACGCTCTTCTTTTGAATCAATAACAACTAGTAGTTCAATAATCATACTGACACTGTATATACTCGTAGTTAATGATTAGCTGCAATTTAAGCGGATCGATTAATGGATGCTGGCGTGTGTCACACAAGTTAAATAACACAATCGCATCATTCCATAAACAATCGTACAAATCTTTAGCTATATATGTTACAGTTGGAGGTTCTCTGATTAGCGTACTTTTAGTTTTGATCATTACAATCCCAAACGGTTATACTATATAGTAGTCGAACCTTTTGATGCCTTTCGATTTGTTATTCAGTTCATATATATATATACATACAACACCAATTGTGTTTTTATTTATTTATTTAATATTTTTTTGCGTATTGTTGATGACATTGGGACAACCGTTTGGTTAATGCATCTTTGATTTACCTGATGCACAGCTAATCCAAAAGAATCTGGAAGTACATGAGAAGGAAGCCCTAAAGCTCAAGGATCAAGCTAAGACATTGCCAACAGACCCAGGAACTGAGCGTTTGCTAAACGAGACAGTAGATCGCATCGATCTGCTGTTGAGGCGTACACAACAAGGCATTTCCATGATAGCCGTGAGTATTATCTATCTGTACATGGGTGGAGCTTATCAGTAAACAATTCAATTTCACAGAGCGCGATGCATGGCCAAAAGAAGCGCGAGGAGGAGATCGACGAGTATCAGAAGCATTTGTTGGAGCTGGAGCGCTGGATCAATGAGGTCTCGGCGGAGCTGGCCTCGTTCGAGCCCACCCCGGACAGCAGCACCGACGAGCATGTGCTGAAGACACAGGTGGAGCGTAGTCAGCAATTGCTGCGCACTCTGAAGGATCGACAGCAGTCCATGGAGGATTTGGTGGAGCAGACGCGTGAGCTGCAGACACACCCCGATGTGGCGCCATTGGCCGACACACTGATGGAACAGCTGCAGAGCATCATAATCATCTTGCGGGAGCAGATCACCGTGGCCACCAAGCGCATCTTCACCATTGAGAAGCGCATCGTGGACCTGCGCAAGGCCAAGCGAGATGAGTCACAGCGCCAACGCGTGCTGGCCGATGCACAAATACTGGCACCAGTCAGTGTTAGCGCAGCGCCCGAATCCATCGAGTCCAATGAGAACACAATCGACTCCAGCTCCATGCCGGAAGAGGAGATCAAGCCAACTGGTGTTTATGTGGAGACACAAACATCGCTGAGCCTGCAGCAGCAGCCGGAGCAACAACAGCACCAGATCGAAACTAGCAATGTGGAGGCCCAGACCAGCTTCCAGGAGCTTCCGCCATTGGCCGCCATTGAAACTGCAGAAGTCGCGCTGCAGACAATCAAAGAACGGCCACCGACTGAAAACATAATGGTCACACAGACTGTGCAGGATGGCCAGGAAACGATACAGATTGACACACAGCTCAACAAGAATATACCCGAATCGCCGGAGGATGTGGAGATCGAGGCGCGTTACCATCAGCAGCCCAAGGGCGATGTGGATCGAGCCACAGAGCTGATCCTGAAGAATGTGCCACAGGCCTTCGAAACGACATTTGTTGAGCCCGACGAAACCACAACCGAGGTGGTTGTCGGTGCCGATGGCACCAAGCACATTGTCGTGAAGAAAGTCACGCGAACGCGCCAGCAAATCGTGCAGCAGCAGCAGATTAGCTCCATTGAAACGGTTAGCGATGCTGACGGCAACATTGAAGTGCAGTCAACCGGCCAGATAAACCTGGAGAATGTGCAGACTACGGACACTGAGGCCGATCCAGACCAGAGTGCCTATCGCACCGTTGTAACGCAGCAAACGCGCGGCACGCTGCTGGATGGCTCCCAACCGGAGGCTGTGGTTGTCAGCGAATTTGAGACGGAGCCGGTCATAGAGAAATACGAACAGCTACTGAGTCCCGATGCCCAAGGCAACTTGCAGCCATTCCGTGCAGCGGCCGGCGAGTCCGCAATGGATGATCGTCTAGGCGGCAGCAGCATACACACAGTTTTGCAGCAGGTGACGCGAAAGGTCATACGCAAGACGCGTAAGATAATCAAGCGTGTGGTTGTCATCGACGGCAAGGAGCACGTGACTGAGGAGGTGGTTGAGGAGCCCGAAGAGATTGAGGTGACTGAGGAGGAGACAATGCCGCATGTCAGCGTGAACATTGTGCGCACGGTGAATGGCAAGGTGGTGAGCGAGGAGGAGTTCCAGAGCATGATGCAGCAGCCGGGCGTAGTCATCGAAGAAGTTGCAACGGATCTGTCCCAACAGACAGTTGAACCGCCGCAACAGGTATTTGATATTGAGTCTATCAACATCTCCAACACCACCACCACAACCACACAAGAACAGACATCACCAACTACAACAACAACAACAACAACAACAACTGCAACTGCAATTACAACAGAAACGACTAAAGCAGCACCTGTAGAATTGCCAGCACCTCAAGTAGACATTGAAGAAATCGTAAATGTTGAAACTATCAGTCCCGTTAATGTTGCAGAATCTGCAGTAACAGTACCTCAAGAGCCCACAACCACCACTCAAGTAACCACCACCACCACCACAACAAGAACAGCAACATCAGAGAGCCAACCCGTGGTGGAAGATATTAAGGAAATTTGGCCACAGGAGCACCATTTGGTATCCACAAATATAGACTTCTCCCAGCATGTCGAGGAGGTGACACCACCAGCAGTTCCCGCCAGTCCAGAGACATCAATGCCTGCCGAAACCATTTGGCCAACTAGTCCAGAGACTGGCAACTCCATCTCACTGGAATCGTATGTGTTTGAGCCAACGATCCCAGCCGCTGTTAGCATCAAATCCGAGACAACAGAGGAAACACAAGAAAAGACTGACAAGCAACCGGAAGAGCCGCTGCCTGAACCCAAAACTGATATAGAAGCCTTCCTGGCCGCTGAAAAAGCGCAAGCTCTGCCCGCCATAAGCCAAACTGAAGTTCCCGCCACACCGATAGCCCAACAGGTGGAGCCAGAAACAATTGTGGCACAAATTGAGCCAGAAATTGTGCAAGCTGAAGAATCTGTGATAGAAGTGCCTCCCATTGATATTGCCGATAAGGAGCTGGCGACGCCACAAACCGACATAAATGTGGCCACCCAGCTCTTTATTATGGGCGAGGCAGCCGCCTCGGATTCGCCGCGCAAGACCTATCAGATAACGGCGCCTTCTGTGGAGAGCACTGGAGCTGGTGTGCTCAAGGTTGCGATGACACCGCCGACAGAGCATGAGGAAACCAGTGCTACACCTGCTAAGGTAACCATGACCATCGTGGAGACTGTCACAGCACCTGTAGACCAGGACGACGATGCGTCGGCGAAGCGAAGTCGAAAGAAAAAGAAGAGAAGAGATGAGCCAGAAGAAACGATTGAACCAAAGCAACCAGAGCCCATTCCCACTTCCGCTCCCGTTCCCGTTCCATCGTCCGACATTGAGCCGGAATCGGTGCAGGAGACAGGCTACGAACCAGAGGAAAAGTCTGTGAGTGAGAATGTTGATGAGGATTCGGCTGACTCGAAGAAGAAGCGCCGCAAGAAGAAGAAACAAAAGGAGAAGCCACAAGAGGAGGAATCACAGGTGCCGCTCTCATCCGATCATTCTCTGCGCGATGATGATACGACCAGCATGGAGTCCGAAGATAAACTACGTCACGAAGCAGTCGTCGAGATCAGCACAGAGAGTGACTTATCGAGCATGGATATTGACCAGAGTGTCAAGGTGGTGGAAGACTCGATCATACCCTCGCCCACAGAGCAGTCGCGTGATCCATTTACACACGTGGTTATACCCACAGAAATTGTAGAGCTGGCGGCTCTCGAAGATGTGGAACAACAGACGACGCCACGTGTAGCCACGCCCCCGACAGCTGCCACCGAACAGGATATGAAATCATCTCAGACTTCACCCCAGCACATGCCCAAATTGGATGAGACGGCGGTGCAAACGAGCCTCGATGTGCAGCCGGCTAATCAGGAGAGCGAATCGCAGACCCTGATTGTGGAAATCACCGAAACCGAAGCACAGACAACACCACGCACCACCGAGCAGCCCGATCCCATTGAGACACTCAGCACGGAAATGCAGACCGATGAGAATGCTCAACCTCGGCCAACAGTGGAAATTTCCAGCCAGACCATTGTGACAACCACCACCGAAAAGGAGCTGCAAACCACTCCAAAAGATTCACCACGACTGGCTGAATCGAGCAGTGACCACATCATCCAGCCCCTAGTTACGGAACTGGTCAAAGACATGACCATTGACCTGCCGGTGCCCACAAGGGAGCAGTCCACATTCATGGAGGACACTGTCACCAAGGAGACTCATATGCAAACGATTACGCCCGAGCCAACTGAAGTCGTGGCTCGCCAGCCTGAAGCACCTGTCGAGGTCAGCGATGTTCTTGTGCAGACCACGCCGCGTGAAGAGCCACAGCCGATTTCCCTAGATGATAACTCTTTGACAGCCACATCGATATCTGAGCCCTACGAGCTGGAGGTGCGAACCACCGTGGCCATACCCGCTGACTCGGATACGTCTGTGGTGGAGCCAACGCTGTACGAATACACGCAAACAATGCAGCTGCCCAAGCCCGAGCGGAAAAAGAAGGGCAAGGGCAAGTCCGCGCCACAGCCAACTCCAGCGCAGGATTCACAGATCAGCGTAAGCGTCGAGATCGCACCCGAACTCTTGGGCGAATCTGGCATTGTGCTCTCGACCAACCAGCAAATTGAAGAGGTGCCACACCTGCCGCCAGTGCCGGACTTTGAGCCCGCTGAAGCGGATCAGCAGAAGCCACCGCAGCGCGTGCAATTGCAGATCACAAAGACCACGGTGTACGATGAATACCCCGACTTGCCGGTGCACATTGTTGAGCAGAACAAGGTGAGCATTGCCGCGCAGCAGCAGAGCGGCAAGCCACGCGGTGGGCCGACATCTTCGGTAACCATTGAGGAAGTCGCCTCGCCCACCGAGGAGCTGGTGGTGCCCATAACGCCAGGCCCAGATAATCTGAACGAGCAGAATGTCTGGATAGCTGCAACAGGCACCACAACTGTGGATCGCACTCCCATTCAAGCTTCTCAGGACCTTATCATGAGCGAGGGATTGCAGCTGTATCCGGGCACACAAACACAGCTGGCCAAGGAGGCGATCGGCACTCGCATCAAGCAATTGAAGGAGACGACGCCACAGCAGCCGACGCCGCTTACCGATGTCCTGCACTTGGCCACACTGTCCGAGCAGATCAAGCAGCTGCCCACCTATCAGCGCGTGGAAGAGGTCAACGAGGGATTGAAGGACTTGGATGAGGCGATACGCAAGGGCGATAAGACAGTTATCCACACCACGGTCATCACAGTCATTGAGAAAGTATCTACCTGGCTGGAAACTATCGAGTATCGTGTCTATCTCATACGTCAAAACTCCAATGAAGGCCCATCCGAGCAGAAACTGGACAACTACAAGGAGCTGAACAAAGAGCTGTCCACAATCAAGGCGAATGTCAGTCATCTCGAGGGACAGCTCGCCAGGACGGAGAAGCCGACGCAGGCGGAGCTGTCTGAGTGCGTGGACACGCTCAAGGAACACATCGATGCAGTCGAGCAGGTGACACAGCAGAATCATGCCCAGGACATCAAGGATCTGGACAAGTGGCAGAACTTTGAGCTGCTCTACAGGGAAGTCAGCACATTGCTGGATTTCCTCCAGGAGCGTTACGAGCTGGCAATCAGTGAGGAGCATCCGCTGTCCACAAAGCTGGCACTGCTCGACGACCTCGAGCAGAATCATGCGGCTGGCCAAGAGCAGTTGAGTCAATTGATGCAGACGGCGCGCCTCTTCCAGCGTGATTTCCCCAATAAGAAAATACCAGAGGATGTCTACCTCACCTATGAGAAGAGCAAGAATATTGGCAACAACATCGAGGCGGAACGCGAACGACTACTTCAGCTGCAGTTGCTGGCCGAGGAGTACGAGCAGACGCTGAAGAAGTTCACCAATATCACGGTGCTGGCCGATAAGATGATGGAGAGCCCCATTGTGTCCAGCTCCCTGGAGCAGTTGAACAACGAGGTGCAGAAGCAACGCAAGTTCTTCGTCAATTTGAGCCACTGTCGCGCCATGCTCGAGTCCCTCGAGGAGAACATTGACAGCGAGACGCGCGAGAAGCACTCGGAGCTGCACAAACAGCTCTACCAGAAGGCCACACAGCTGCTGGAGCGTGCCTCGGAGCGTTCCTCGAAACTGGTCCAAGCCGCCTCGCGCTGGACCGTGCTGGAGCGGGGCATGCGCGACGAGCTGCAATGGCTGCAGGTGGCCCAACAGCGTGTGCCAGACCTTTCGGCGGTTACATCCGCCGACTATGATCAATATGCCACGCTCTACCAATCCCTGAGCAACGACATCTCGCACCATTATGTCAAGATGACGCAGCTGTCGGGCATAGCCAACAAGATGCAGCTACTGGTGCAGGCGCCCAATCTGGTCGAGGAAACCAACGATGCCTTGATTGTGCTGCTGAAGCTGCGTGAGGAGGTGGCGCTCTACTTGCACCGCCTGCTCGTCTTCAAGGAGATCTGGGTGCAGTACGAGCAGCAGACCGAGAAAATGGAGGCGTTCGTGCGCGAAGCAGAACAGGAACTGCGCCAGATCCAGATACCAAAGCAGCCCACTGAGCAGCCCATTCCGCATATCAGACAATTCTGGGAGATCAAGGCGCGCTTCGAGCTGCACAACAACATACGCAACGATGCGGGTCATAGTCTGGAGAAATCCCTGCAAGTGATACCGCTGGCCGACGAGATGTTGCAGCGGCAGTTCCATGCGCAGCTGGAGGATCGCTGGCAGGCAGTGGCCCAGGCCATCGAGCAAATACAACGCAACATTGTGGACTGCCTTTCCTCGGAGGATATGGCCGCCGACGAGAAACTCAAGCTGGTGGAACGTGAGCTGCAGGAAATCTACCTGGCCATGACCAGCATGAAGGGCGTCATCAAGAACGAGGAGGAGCTCTGCCTGTACATCGAGCGTGTCCAGGTGCTGCGCACACGCGTTGGCTTCATTGGCAACGAGCTGGGCCGCATTGGCCTCCAGGAGCCCACAACTGAGCCCGAAAAAGTGGGCGAACTCTTCGCGCTCTCGCACAAGATAACGACACAAATAACCGAGGAGCTGGAGTTCGCATCGGTGCTACGGGATCAGCTGCAGGCCATCCACGAGGGCATCAGCAACCAGCGCAAGCATCAGGCCAAGATCTCAGTCATCCTCGATGAGTGTGAGGCCGCCGAGCGCCAAGGCGCCGACGTTATCGAAAAGGCCGTCGCCGATTGCCAGGGCGCCGGCGAGGAGCTCGTTGGCAGCTGGCAGGAGATAATGCGCATACGGCAAATGCTCCACACGCTGCCCATGCGCCTGAAGATGTCCGTGTCGCCGGTGAAGCTGGAGCGTGACATTTCCCAGCTGCAGGACGACCACGCCTTCCTCGAGAGCAAGTGCACCAACATTATGGCCATACTGCGTAATCGTCTGGCGCTTTGGCTGCGCTACGAGCGCCAGCTGGAGCTGGTGCATGGCTCGGTCCAGGAGACGGACTTCATGATGGAACTGATACGTGTCCACGGCCAGGTTGACTACGAGCGCCTACGCAAGGCCACCGAGAGATTGGAGGTAAGCTGTTTCTTTATGTATTCAGTGATTTTGAGAGGAACTCAGTCGAAAACAATCGAACAGGCTACCTGCCTGTCTGTGGAAATTTTTCTTTTTCGGCCAGCTCTTATCAGTAAGTCGCGAATCGCTATAAAGTCGCGTGCGTTTTCTGCCTATAAAATCGCGTGCGATTTCTGCCTGCCTTCAGTACGTCGCGTGCTTTCCAATATTCCGCAGCTAAATTTAACTCAGTTCGAAAAATACAAAAGCTACTGCTGGCGTAGCGGACACAAAGCTCTTATACTGAAAAGCTCTCTTCGAAAAATAAGCTTTCGTGCATTGCACTTGCTTTGAGTTTCGTTTCGCCGTTTCTCACGCAGTTGACGTTCAAACTTCGAATCGCGCGCGTATCGCGTGAATTGTTGCTCCGCGCATATTCATAAATATTAATTTATATTTGTTTTTGTTTGGCGCTTTCGCTCTTCTCCCACAAACCATCCGCACGCTCAGGGTCTTGCGGGCGATCTACATAGTCGGGAGCAGCTGCTGGACGAGCTTAAGGGCGCCGCCAAGCCGCTGATCGAGAGCTGTGATGTGCAGATAGTGGAGCAAATTGAATCATCCGTGCAGGATGCGGTAGTCGCCTGGAATGATACCACCGAGAATCTGCAACAGCTCTGCACACGCTACCAGCGAGCCGTTGAGCTCTGGGACAAGTACCGGAACGCCTCAGCAGCGGTCAAGAGCTGCATTGAACAGCAAATGGACAGCGTCAAGTCCTTGGAGCAACCCTTGGAAACCATGCAACATGCCAAGGTAAGTGACGCGTAATTGTTCCAAATGTTCGACTGGGTGGCTTGGGGTGGTGTTAATAGTGGAGTTTACTTGCTGTTACCGATTTTGTGTTTTATTTTTTGGCGGTAAAAAGAAACGACGGCGACGACGTTTAATTGCGATACACACTTGTACCGGACCGGGCCGTAATTACATTGATTTTCAGCCGTAACGCTCGGCCCAATCAATTTTCGGGCGCGTCACTGTAATCGCCTGTAACTGAGTACATGGAAATTGGCTGCCAGTGAGCTAACTCGTATGTGTGTGTGTGTTGATAGCTATGCACATGTGTGAGTTAGTGTACGTTGGTTGTTTGTGTCATAAATTATTTTGTTTGACACAAAAATACGGAAAGACAAATGTGGTGAGGCAGCCCAAAAAGTTGTTATACTCTTGCAATGGGTTACACGGACTTATAAAGCAAATACTACAGTTTATGTATATTTATGTATAGCTCGGTTCAAGTGGGTTAGCTGTCATTTTACTAGATACTGATTCTCATAGAAAGATTATTGGAAGAATAGAGTTGATTTATGTCTTATCTCTTATGTATAAGAATCTTATAATCTCTTATGTATAAGAGTCTTATAATCTCTTATACATAAGAGATTACAAGAAATTTCCCAATAGATCTTATCCACATCTAATCCAGCACAGTTATTCTAGAATTTCTGTATACAGAGCATACAATCTTCGTCAATTTGAAGATGAACATAATTCAGTCTTTGGACTACGCTTTGATTTTCGTTTTGTTTGCCTTAAATATTAACGCATAGTTCTCTTATTTATGTGTGTTTATTGATCATTAGGGTCATTATAGGAGCCAGACCACGAAGCGCTGTAATTATTTTTGTGCCTAGGCATAGCCAAGCCAACTGTCGCTTCACATGACGGAGTTTATCAACCCAAAAGCGTAGGCTCTGTGTTTATATAGCTGCTTTATCTGTTCCCGTTCAACAAAAATACATCAAATTATAGGAAGACGTAGGCATACCTATGCATAATATATAATAATATATACACACATACGTATGTATTTGCTTGCGAGATTGTTAGAACATGCCTTGGGCTACTCTGAAGCTGTAGATAAATACGAAAATATTTTTCTTAAATCTGGGCTGGTGAATTTCAATGTCAACGGCACGGCGTTTGCTCTAAGTATTTTGTTGTGTTCTTTTTTCTGTGATAAAGCAAAGGCCTAGCCAAAAAATATTTCACAGATGATATCATAGGGCATGCGATAGGGCCGAACGCGTGCTCTTTAAATTGCTTAATGCGTGTGCAGCTCGTTTTCGTTTTATATATTTAAATAGCTGGCGCTGAGCCCTGCGGGTGACCTCTTTTCTCTAAATTGAAATTGAAACAGAAACAGAAACTGAAATTGAAAGTGCAGCGAGCAGTCACTCGGTGCTCGTAGTGCTCTTGCCCGACACATTAATTAGAATTAGAAATGCAATTAGAATGGGAACGAGACGGGACGCTCGCTTGATAAGCAACTACAGCTAACTAAATAGATGTAGCCGGACCTGGGCTAAGCGAAAAGTACTTTGATCATGCTGTATAAATAGATCGATGACATTTGCATTCAAACGGAATTAGAATTGGGATGTGCTACATATGTAGAAAAACAAAAGGAATATCTATTGTATTTGTTTGAATTTGCTACAGCAAACAATGATATACCTTTGAGCAGATATGGGGTATTTATATTGAGGAATAGAGTATATGGAAAATACATAAAGTTACATTATCTATTCACTTGATTTAAGAATACGAAAACGAAATTGAATGAATGGAAGAGTTAGCCAAGCCAATTTAATTTTTTACATTTTACTATGTTATAATTTTTCTAGTTTATAGACTTTCAATATTAATGCATCTCACAAAACTTTAAATATTAAATTAATCCCATTTCTTTATTTTTTAACAGGTCTGCCAGGAGAATCTAAGCACACAGAATGATCGCCTGTTGGAGCTGCGCGATATTGTGGCCAAAATCGCTGCCGATGTGGGTCTGGATGCCTCCACGCTGATGCAAGGTGAGCTGGATGCGCTGGGTCAGCGCTTGGCCGAGTGCAAGGATGCCATAACGACGCTGGCGAATGTGGCCGAGACGCAGGACAAGGAGCGCAAGGAGCTCGACAGGGAGGTGACACAGGCCAAGGTTTACTTCAGCAATGTGCAGCAGGTGAGTGCAAGCCACAAACTGAGTGAATGAATGCGGCCCAAGCGGCCAACCACTGGCGGCAGCTATCGATTTTGATAGGGCGAGAGCGAGAGCGAGTGCTCTAATGATGATTAGCATATATGGTTAGAGTGTGGCGTGCGGAAATTCCCACAGTGGTGACAACAACAACAACAAAAAGCAGGCGGACACTTGTTGTTGTTGCTAATACAATACGAAGGACATGCTATTTTAAGTGGGTTAAAAGTTGAAAAACTTTCGCTTCCCATGTCAATGCATGCATATGCATGCGCGCATACATACATACATACATGTTCATATATTCTGACAGTGGTCATTATTGATTGTGAATAGGGCTTACCATTGGGTTTGTAGTGCGAGCATAGTTAATTTTTATTGACCACGCCCCATCTATAAATATATATAACCTAGTCAGCTGTCAGTCAGTCTGAATTCATAATGCGCTCTGCAGCCAGCTCTTCGGCTGCTCGCTTGCCCCACTGTGCGGCCATTTGAAATTTCCATGCCAAACAGACGCGAGTGAGTCGCTTCTGTCTGCCACCTTCGCCGAGCTGCCGCCCCCAGCCCGCCCCGCCTCAGACAACGTTACAGCGCGCGTGAGGCTTGCTTGCGTGAGGTCATTGCCAGTTGGCGGAAAGAGTTGCAACGTTGCGCATACCCTGTAAATGGAGTTTGCAGTAAGGCATATTGGTTTTGCTAGGCAGGAGGTGGCAGGAGCTGGTCTCGTATTTGTGTTGGATTAGTAAAAAAAAAATATGATTGATTTATTTATTTGATCTCAAATCATTTAAGAAGGGAAAACTTCCTTTAGAAGTCAATTTAAATATTGATTTTACAATGCCTTTCCAATAGTTGCCTTAGTTTTTGCATAGACCCAAGACTTTTTCTCTAGCATATCTGGCAGTCGTGTATACCTGATGTAAAATATTCTTAGCTCGCCCTGCTGTTGGCCCATTGTGAAGCCGTGCATTGCCAACTGTAACTGGAGAGCGCCTTGTGCATATTAGGGTCAGGCCAATTAGCCATGCACAAAACGTTGCCAACGTGTGGGGAGGAGGGGGAGAGGGGGGCTCAATACCAGCTGTGCAAACCCGTCACTAATAACAATCCTCTCATTCTGTGCTCCATAGGACATTTCGCGTGGCGAGCCACAGACGCCCAAGGAAAGCGAGGAGCAGCTGGCCGCGCTGCGTGCCCATCTGCAGACGCTGGCGCGCACCGAGGAGCAGCTGCGTCAGCTGCGCGAGCGCCAGCAGAACAACAATGAGCTGGCGAGTCCCGTTGGGGCGGCGGCGGCCGACGATAGCATCTTGGAGGTGCTGGCCATGTGGCAGAAGATATTCCAGGACACCTTCCAGGAGTACCACCGGCTGTCCACGCGCCTGGCCCGCACCCAGAACAGCTCGGAGGCGCTGCGTCTGTGGCGCCAGTACCTGCAGCATGTGCAATCCTTCCTGGCCTGCGCCATACCCGAGGACTACAGCAGCCTGCGCGAGCAGCAGCAGCTCTGCGCCATACACCAGAATCTGCTGATCTCGCAGCAGAGCGTGCTGGCCGAGACCCCGCTCGAGTCGGAGCTGTCGGAGCAGTACAAGGCGCTGACCAACCTGCACAATGAGACGCTCTCGCGCATCATGCAGCGCAATGGCGAGCTGGAGCGCCGGGTCAGTGGCTGGAATGCGTACCGCCAGCAGCTGGCTGCCCTCCTGGACTGGCTGCGCCAGCGTGAGGCGGAGCGCAACGCTCTGCAGCTGCGCTACATCCACCTGAAGCGAGTGCCGCACCTGAAGGCGCGCCTCGACGCGCTGCTGCTGCAGCTGGCGCGCGGCGAGCAGCAGAGCGCGGCGCTGAAGGCGCAGCAGCAGCAGCTGGTGCAGTACTGCGACGATGCGCTGGCCACGGCCATGCGCATGGAGCAGGCGAGCATCAATCAGCGCATCAGCAATCTGCGCGCCGCCCTCGAGACCTGGCAGAACTTCCTCAAGCGCATCAAGCAGCTGGCGGACTCGTATGAGCTGCGCGTGCAACAGCTGCAGGCGGAGTTCGGCAAGGCGCAGCAGCTGCTGGACAGCAGCTCAGGTGATTCACTGCCCACCACACCCGCCGAAATCGAGGAGCGTCTGGCCGCGCTGAGGGCACAGCGCGTCCAACTGGGCGCCCAGACGCCGCTGCTGGAGAGCCTGACGGTTAGCCAGGAGGAGCTGAAGGAGTGCATCAGCCCGCACGACATGAAGGCCATACGCCAGCGCAGTTTCCTGCTCTCGCAGCAGCACGCCGACCTGGACTATCAGCTCGCCGTGCTCATCAACGCCATCGAGGAGCGGCTCTCGCTGCTATCCAACTACCAGGCGCGCTACGGACGCATTTCGGACTGGCTGCGCAGCCTGGAGGAGCGTGTGGAGCGAGACGGGGATGTGACCGCCGTGGCCAATCCCGAGCAGGCAGCCAAGCAGCTGGAGCAGCAGATCAACGGCGAGCTGCAGCTGCGCGACAAGGAGCGCGAATGGCTGCTCTCCACGAGCCGGGAGCTGCAGACGCTCTACGCGGATGCCACGCCCCAGGCGCAACAGGTGCGCGCACAGGTGCAGCAGCAGAGCGACGCACTGATCGATCGCTGGAATCGGCTGAAGTTCATGTGCAAGCAGCGGGCCACCAAGATTGGCGAGCTGAAGCAGACGCTGCTGCGGCTGGAGGAGCGCATTGCGCTGATACGCACCTGGCTGTTCGAGGTGGAGTCGCAGCTGGACAAGCCGCTCAGCTTCGACAGCTACACGCCGAATGTGATCAAGGCCAAGCTGAGCGAGCACGAGAAGATCCAGCGCTCCATCGAGAACCATAGCAGCAATGTGGGCGAGGTGCTCAACCTGGTCGAAATGATGCTCAACGATGCGGACAGCTGGCGCACCCAGGTGAACACCACGGGCCTGGCCTCGTCCGCCCAGAATCTGGAGCAGCGCTGGAAGAACGTCTGCAGCCAGTCGGCGCAGCGCAAGACCCGTATCCTGGACACATGGAACGCCCTGCAGGAGCTGATCAAGCTGACCACCGAGCACAAGAATTGGCTGGCCAAGCAGGAGGCACAAATGCTGGTGCTCGAGCGCGAACAGAAATACACGAACAAGCAGAAGCTGGAGGAGCGACAGCAGGCGCTGCGCGCCAAGCTGGAGGAACTGGACGCCGAGTCCATAAATCTGCGCAAGCTGGAGCAAACCTATGCCCGGCTCACCATGAGTCCCGGCGTGGAGCCCGAGAACATACAGAAGCTGACGATGCCCACCAAGGTGATGCTGAGCAAGTGGCGCATGCTGACGCCACGCTGCCACGCCCAGCTGGACGCCATTGACAAGGACGCCAAGCTGATGCGTGACTTCAACACGGCTCATCTCGAACTGACCAAATCCCTAGTGGGCATACAGAAGGCCCTCGAACAGGTGCCCAGCGCTGAGGATCCTCAGTTGGCGGGCAGCAGCGAGCCGAAGGCTGTGCTCCAACGCTTGGAAGGACTGGAGCGCAAACTGCAGCAGGCCGAGCAGCAGGTGGAGCAGGCCAATGCCCTGGGCAAGGAGGCCGAGGTGCGCTCCAAGCAGCAGCCCTCGCAGCTGAAGCACCTGCTCAAACTGATTGCCGAATACACAACGCTCTGGCAGACGGTGCAGACGACGCTGACCACGCAGAAGATGAGCTGGCTGGCCCGTGCCACCAAAGAGGGAGTTGCGCTTGCGGCTGGCGCTGGGGCTGCATTGCCCGTCAACGAATCGCATGCCAGTGTCCAGGTGAACACGCTGTCCCAGCGCAAGCTGCGCCAGGCCCAACTGCAGCGGGAGACCTCAATTACGGCCAAGGATGCGTACGTGATGGAGCTGCAGACAGCGATTACCGAGTGCCAGAACAATCTGGAGGAGCTGCAGCGCACCATCGTAGACAAGACGCGCAAGCCGGGTCCCCAGAAGATCGCCAAGCTGCTGGGCAACGCCCAGTCGTCCACGGAGCTAGTGAAGCATCTCAGCCATCTGCTGCTCACCGAGTGCCAGGCGGACAACGAAGCTGCCCAAGTGGATGTCGTGTCAGAGCTAGCGTTGCGCTTCGATACCCTGCAATCGCAGTGGAAGGCGCGCCAGCAGCACGATCAAAATGCTAGGTAAGCCACACCTCGATCTATATAACATATTGCTCTATGTATATGCTCTAGTTGTAATTCCTTTAACTAATTTATATACTTGCAAACTGCGCTCTGTAGATCGTTGCCCGTTTTATCCGCTTTTATTCTATTCGAAGCTCTTATCGGCTCTAGGTAGCAAGTTACAACCCCCAGGGATTAGCCTAGTAGGATCTATTCGAACTAAATTTCCGTTTCTGACCTGGGTCCACTTCGCGGCAGTCAAGCGTAGCAAGTTTCCAATTGGACTCAGTGCACAGCAAGATTAGTTTTTCCCATCAGTTACTCAATTTCCATATCAAGCTGAATGCAATGTATTGTAATTTTATACGTTTTGTATATAAGAGAATCATAAATTATATTTGTCATACTCGAATGAAATGTTCTCTTTTTTTAAGCCTGATTAAATTTCAGATCTCTAATTGGGCATATAAATTAATTTTATATTTTTAATATAATTTAATATACTTTTGGAATAGACAATAATTTTCTACAAGTTCAAACAAAATGGCATATAATGATATAAAAATCAATTAGAACTCCCCGTAGTAGGATTTCATTCAACTCAACTGTGTTCCATTAATTCTAGTATTGTCCTCTCTATAGTTTTGCCAGAGCTCTTCTAAAGTTTGCTCGTATATTTTCTATCTCTTTTCCCGCGTATTGTGTTTGGGTATATTTATATGGTTATATGGCTAACAACGTGTTTTATTGCTTTATGTCTCGCTCACTTACACACACACAAACACACTCTGCTACGTCACACACACACACACATATATATATATGTTACCAAATGCTTCACTTGAACCTGCGCATTCATGATGGCTCTGCGCCCAGCAGGTGCCCGCTACCTGCCGCCTACAAATACACATGCATACAGTAAGTGTTAACAGAGTTCCGCCTCTACCTAGCTCTACCTCTAACTGTACTCTACCTCTACCTGTGCACTAACCGCAGATCTTACTTACTGCCAGGCAAGCTCCCACTGTGCGCCCTCTGTTTCGTGTTCTGTGTGGTCATCCGCCAGACAAAAGCTGGCATTGCCCTCTCTCCATGGGCTGTCAGACTCCAGGGCGGAGCACAGTAACGCAGCTTGCCTGGAAATCTGCTAAACTGCTCTATTTGAGGTTCAACTTTGAATAGACACTCGGTGCAGGGTTACACTCTCAATAAGCTCCACTTCATGTCTGTTCAGCTCGACTAATCACGCCCCCTTCTATCGCCCATACAGTGAGGTCGGCCGGCTAACGTGTCCGCTCTGCACGCAGCGCAATTGGCAGCAGATCGACAACGATCTGTGGCGCCTGGAGCAGTGGCTGCTGTTCGCCGAGAGCACGCAGAAAGCGCAGACGAGCCCGCCCTCGAACATTGAGCTGCTGGAGGATGTGACGCAGGATCATCGCGAGTTCCTGCTGGATCTGGAGAGTCACAAGTCGATCATCTCATCGCTGAATGTTGTGGGCGACCACCTGGCCACCCACACCATGGACACGGAGAAGGCGCGCCAGCTGCGCTCCCGCCTCGAGGCGGACAACGAGCGCTGGAACAATGTGTGCATCAATGCCACCAAATGGCAGGGTCTCCTGCAGACGGCCCTGATGGGCAACAGCGAGTTCCATCAGACCATCGATGAGCTGGTCGACTGGCTGCAGCGCACCGAGAAGAACATCAAGGCCTCGGAGCCGGTCGATCTGACCGAAGAGCGCAGCGTGCTCGAGGCCAAGTTCAACAAGTTCAAGGACCTGCGCGCCGAGCTCGAGCGCTGTGAGCCGCGTGTCGTCAGCCTACAGGATGCCGCCGACCAGCTGCTGCGAGCCGTCGAGGGCTCCGAGGAGCAGTCACAGCACACCTACGAGAGGTAAGTGCAGCGGGCGCCAGTGCCGAGGGCGGAACGAAATGAATGCGTGGGTGCCGTTTCTGCTAAATAGAGATCGTGATGTGCGTAGGGGGGATGCGGGGCAAGCAGCGATTGATAAAGAGCTAGTTGGGCGACATTGATTACATTATATATTTCGTAGTATTTTCTAGTATTATTTTGTGTAGTCCTATTTTATTATATTTACTTATATACTACTCATTTTTATGTGTACACATTTTACTCTTATCTAAAGTAGAGCACCCTCCTTCCCTTCCCTTCCCCCTCCTACCTGTAGTTTAATGTAGAATTTAGAAAATGTAGTGTTTGATATGATTAAAAATTGTCTTACTCATATGGCATATAAAAAGCTGAAATTGTGTAGAAAAATGATGTGGAAATTTAGCCAAGAATTCGAATTCAAAGATGTACAGTATAATATTCGGAATATCAATTCAGAAATTTTATTTCATTCTATCAAAATTTTCATATTTTTTATTCATTTTTCAACGATAATTTTTAAAAATTCACTTTAAGAATAAAAATCTTATCTTATAGAAAGCTGAAATTAAAAAGGCAGAGAATGATGAAAGCTTAGAAAAGGATTTGAAAGGTCTAAATATTGCTCTCGTTTGCTAAAAAAATTTTTTTTTAAATGTTCCGAACTTTTATTTCAATCATTCTACATTTTGAAAGTTATTTTTTATTGATTCCTCAATGCATCAAGAAATATAAAATTTACTTCAAAATGCATAGATTCTTAAGATTAATTTTTCACGATTGGCTTTGTTAATTTGTTCATATGTTTTTGATATGCCAAAGGCTTGGCTTTGTTCACAATTGTTATTTTATATGCCACGCCACATACCTTATACCCGACTTCAAACATCTGAAAAAATTGTACTAAAAATGTTCCTGGAACATCTCTACTTTTGGCATACCACACTCATACAACACACCCTCCTACTGTCTCTCCCCCGCCCCAATCACGTAGCTTTATGGCTGCCCTTTTAGCTAGTTTACTTACTATGATTATAGTTGGACAAATTAGTTTTGCTTATTATATTATATAAATTTTTGTGTTTGCTGTATTTTTCTTTTGTTTGCGTGTTTGATTTGTGTTTTTTACTTTCTGGTACTCAAAATTTGATTCGTCCGCCCATTCTAACCCTTCATCAAAACTGACACACTTAAGAGCCGCCAGCATATGTTTTAAATACTCTAGAACACTTTCCAGGCTAACCGATCTCCGACTGCGGCTGCAGTCCCTGCGCCGTCTCTCCGGCATCTACATCGTCAAGCTGGGCGCCGTCCTCGGCTACGAGGGCGACAACCTGGGCGTGCCGCTCCAAATGTTGTCGAATGAGGTAAGTGCAAACGATCTATCCTAACTCCGATCCCGATTTAAATTCGATTTGTCCCAAGAAAAAAATGAGTTTAAATATTTTGATTTTTGTAAGCGCACCAAAGTAAGTGAAATATTTTACAAACAACAAATTGGCTCCAATTGAAAAGTGTGAAACAATTGATTTGAAAATTCTAAAAAAAAAAAAAAAATGCAAACGAAAACTGATTTTATTATTTTATTTTAATTTAATTTTTATTTTTCTTTTTCCTTTATATTTGTATGGCAATTCTAGCTTTTGGATAATACTACATTATCAACCTCTTCTATGCAGGCCGCCGCACCCAACACAGAAAATGCAAAGTAAATATTCAATAGAAATTTGTTTAATTTTGTCAATTTTCAAGTAGTTTAGTTTCTTTTCCCGTACGACTTGATTTACGTTCGAGCAAAAAACCTGCACAAGTACAAATACTCTCAGTAGTTGGCACTTGGTATATGTAAAATACATGTGTATATATATAATGTATATCCTAGATAGCATGCTTCCTATATATGTAGTTGCTCTATGATCATTTCAATATTTTTACTAATCTATTTGCCTTTCACAGTCGCAGCGATGGCGATGCTGCCGATGGCGATGTCATCAATACCACGGTTCTGGCTCGAGGTGCACGATTCCTCGGGCGCGTTGCACGTGCCTCGCTGCCCATACAGGCGCTCATGCTGCTGCTTTTAGGTGTGGCAACACTGGTGCCCCACGGTGAGGACTACACCTGCATGTTCTCCAACACCTTCGCTCGGAGTCTGGAGCCAATGCTATCCTATCCGCATGGCCCGCCGCCAACGTAAGCCCTGATGGCGTTCCCAATTGGATTAGTGCAATAAATTTAGGGTCGAAACATCCATCCCTCCCCAACTGTGAACAGTTAAGATAAAAACCAAAACACAATCCAACTACCCCCACCCAAGTCCCAATCCCCACAACAACACGAATATGCCTTTAAAAATGATAAAAAAAAAATAACATAAACCAGAGAAAAAAAAGAAGAAAATCTAAAAAAAAAGCTGTAATATTGAAAGAAAAACACTGTATACCGTATTGTATGTAAGCGAAAATGTTTGTTATCAAAATTCTTGTACAAGATATAAGGCAACCGATCCAACCCGATCGGGTGTGTTAAGTCATGTAAATTTTTGTAATTTTCCACAAAATGAAACTAAATGTATGTATATTATTTTTGGTAGCTAGACAGTCGAAACATGCCGAAATAAATATGTACAGAACAAATAATGGTATAATATACTATGTAAACTGAACCCTACTCGACGAGCATAAACCAAGAAACACTTGATAAAAAAACAAAAAACAAAAATGAAAGCAAAATAAGAAAAATAACGATATATAACGAAATACTTTTTCAAGAGACAAACAGAAATACATATATTAACGATATATACATTATACATATATATTTGCACAGCAAACATTTATATATATACTATATAAACCTATGCCCAAAATTATAATGCCCAACATTTTGTATATAAAAACTAAGAAAACGAAAGCAAAAACAAAACAAGAAAATACGCACACACGAAAATATGCAACGAGTAGCGCACGCCTCTCCACAGTCCCAGAGCCATTGTGGGCGTGGTCGGGCGAATATCGTGGAACATATTCGCCCGGCCCGGCCAGTGGACAACAGCCTTTAAGACAAACCATGACCCACATAGACCAAATTGCCCAGTGCGCGGATCAAGAGTCGAACTATGCTTCCAGTCAGCTGTCGCATTCATCTCCCAAACTCTGGATGTGGCTGCTGCGCTGGGGCTGCGTCTTGACTCTGGCTCCGCACACTGGGCACTAGATGGCCCCAAGCTGTCTGGGGATAGACGCTGCCTGGAGCCAAGCTCTCTCCCACGGCTCCTGAGCAGCGGCTCTGCAGCTCTTAGCACCCGCCACAGGTGTCGCTGCTGAATCCTCAACTAAACATCTCGCAGCCAAGGCTCTCTAAGACCTCAAAGCATTCCTGAAACTCATTTCCAAAATTTGTACCATAGACAGATCGAAAATCGAAAAACAAGTCCACTAGCTGTTGCCCCTCTCTGCTGTTGGCCTGGAGAAGTGTGCGCGAAAGGCGCAAAACGAAGCAAGTGTCCTATGCCGGTGCTAAACCAAATTAAAAAAAAAAAAAAACAATATTCTTAAACAAAATATATATAATAAAAACTGACAAATTGCGTATGAAGAAAGTTGAAAAAAAAAAAAAAAACCGAAAAATGTTGAAATAGTAATGGAACAGGTTATCCTCCATCCAGTTAAAAAAAAAAAAAGAAAAAAGAAATAAGGAATCAAACTTTTTGTTAATATTTTTTGATAAACATTATTCTATTTGCCTTATTAATAATACTATATATTTTCTTTCTATTATTTAATGCCTCGGAGCGCAGTTATTGAAGAAGAGCATATATTTATTTAAGTTTATACGATATATATACAATATATTTGTTTATAAGTTGATTAAAATGTTAAATTTTTTGTGTGTTTTTGCTGCTTCTGTAAATTGTAAGATTTCCTTTCTTGTGAACAACTGTACCTTTATGCATATATATATTAAAGAAATATTTAAAAATAATTGTTGAAAATAGTTTTTCTTTTAATATCGTTAAGAATATGTGAAAATCTGGTGCTTAGAAATCTGTGATCCATTGCGCTATGACCTTCGCCTCCAACTGACGTGCAGCTGTCACCGAGGGCGGATCCAGTGGATTGCTTTTCCGCAGATCCAAGTGGTGGGCGCCCTCGGGAATAATGATGACAGTTATTTGGCTGTTCGGCGCCTGCAGGACGCCGCCGCCGCTCCAGGGATCGAGCAGGCCGTTGCTGAAGATGATGTTGCTAGCCGCCTCCAGATTGCGGCCGCCATAGCGCAACACGATGTCGTAGGGCCTAGGGATGAGGTGGAATCGCTTGTAGCAGTCCTCCGAGACCTTCTTGAAGTCCCAGTTGCTTGTGCGGAACATGGTGTCATTGCTGTTGGCGCACATTGGCATGACCATCTGATTGCAGCTCTGTATCTCCCAGCCCGTGGCGTCGTAGCTGGCGCCAGCATTCGAGTCCTTGTAGTCCAGGCACTTGACGCTGCCCGTGTAGTTCGTGTAGACAGCCAAGGCGCTGGCCATGCTGGCGACCAGATCCGTATCATTCTGATGCAGATCCTTTAGGTAGAAGCAAAGCTGGCGCACAGGATTCGCGGGTAGCGGCGCCAGAAATGTGGTGTTGTACGGATAGTTGGCCATGGCCAGGTTGCCGTACACGTTCTCCAGGTAGTCCATAAACTCTTTCAGATCATCCGCGTTTTTGATGGGATCGCAGACATGGAAGACATCGCTCAGCTGCTTCTTGCCGGCATCTGTGGCCGCCATCGACTCGAACACCTTCCAGGATCTGCCAATGTTAACGGTGCAGTTGGGATTGTAGGCAGTTTCGAACACCGCGGTGGTAATCATATTGAAGAGGTCACAGCGCGTCAGGTCGGAGAATTGCAGTATAGGCGCCGAAGCGGCCAGTGCGCCAACCACAATGTGCGGATACTTCATGCGGAACCAGGCCGCCAGCATGCCGCCATACGAGCCACCAAATGCAACCACGGGCAATTGTTTTCCATTGCGCAAATAGGTAATGAGCTGAGCATAATCCTCCAGTGTCTGCTCCACGGTGAAGTATGCCAAATGCTCCGGCTTACTGGTATTGAAAGTGTCGGCTCCATACGGCAGCGACTTGCCGTAGTAGCGATGCTCGGCGAAGATAACCAGCGCCCGCTGCTGGGCCGCCAGTTCCCAGACGAAGCCACTGTTCTGGGCAAACCACTCGATGTCGCCCTCATTGCCCGTGTAGAAGAAGATTGGGGGCTGCGGATTTTTTTTGTCCACATAGGAGTCGTTGGCCAGATAACGTATGTTGAAGCTCGCATTGCTCAGGAAACTGAAGTGATCCAGCGGCACGGAAAACTGCTTGATTTCGTATTGAAATTTCTCGTTAGCTAACGTGCCGGGCTCAAAGGCCAAAATTAATAAAACTCCACAAAGTGCAGCAATCATTTTGATGTGCACCTAATGACTCAGATGTTTTCAATTAAATGAAACGCGTTCAACTTTGTAATCTGCTTTTGTTCTGCTCTGCTTCGGTCAAGCCGGCTTTTCTGACCCCCCTTATCTAAAGCTTAAACCAGTGTTTCATAGCGTAAAAATGTGCAGCTCAGAGTTTCTTTTCGAGTTTAACAGTCGGCGAGAGCAAGCAAAATGTTAACAGAAGTGGCTAACTTACAAAATTTTAAATTTGGTTTATAAAGCAAATTTCATTGTCTTAATGCGTGGGTCCAGGATTAATCATAATGTCGAAAAACATAAAATAGTCAAAATTATATGCAGCAATTGACTTTGTTCGTCTCTGTTTGTATGCTTTCAAAAGGGCATCAAAAGATTCGCTAAGTAAGGCTACCATTTGAGTTTAACAGCTGACGATTGAGTCGCTAATGTTAACGATAACGGATTTTTGAAAATAGGACAGCTACATTTATTTCAATAGAATTTTATTGATTAAATATTCTCATGAATCTTAACAATTAAAAATAATAAATAAATAACGTAGGGATTTGGCCTTACATTTTTATACCCTGAACCCATTGAAAATGGGAAATCAGGGTATAATGGTTTTGTTAATATGTATGTAACAGGCAGAAGGAGGCGTGGCAGACCCCACAAAGTATATATATTCT